GGCAGGACGAGCATGGGAGGGACGGTGAGACCAGACGTGAGACGGGGGAGTCGGGTCAGGAGACAGGGGAGGGGACACAGGAGGGGAACGAGGGGGAAGACGAGCCGGGGACGAGTCCGGCGGAGGGAATACAGGCCCGTAGATGGGAAGAGGAGGAGACGGTCAGAGAGGAACAGACGCAGGGTCAGGGGACGGAAGTCCGAGCAGGCGAAGGGCTGACACCGGCGGGGACTGCTGCTGCGGTGGCACAACGCCAACACCTGGACCGCAAGCTGCTCCTCGGCTACCACCGGCACACTCCACACCAGCAACCCCAGAGGGAACACCTCCAGGGCCCGAAACCCCTCGAGGACCGGTACCACCCCCACGGCTACCGGGACTAGCACGCACTCCAACACCAGCACCCCCAGAGTCAACGAACGGGTGCTGCGACGGGGGCGGCGGCGGCAGCGACAACGACGGCTGCGGCGGCGGCGGCGGAGGTGACAACGGCTGCGACAGCAGGGGCGACAGCGGCGGCAGAGGCGGTGGAGGAGGGGACGCCTGGGGAAGGGCGGCCGGCGAGGACTGCGCCGCAGGACCACCAGAGTCAGAAGACTCCTCAACCGGGACCACCGACGGAAGAGGGGTGACGTGGGACACACCAGAGGGGGCAGGACGGGGAGGAGGAGGGGGAGGGGCAGGGACTACCGGGGAAGGAGTGACCAGGAACAGGGGGGGGGTAACCGGGGGACCACGGTGGGGGAAGCGACGGTAGTAGGAGACAGACTCGTCAAAGGTGACGTCGCGAGAGTGAAAGAATCGGTGAGACGGCGGGTGGCAGAAGTGCCAGTCGGACGCGTCAAGGGGAAAACCGAGGAAGACACAGGGAAGGGTGCGGGCAATGAGCTTGTCCGTGCCGGAGGCACGGACGTGAGCAAGGGAGCCCCAGACGTGGAACGCAAATGCGTCACCAGGAGACCCAGTCCAAAGACGGGTCGGCGAAACCTGCGGCTGCTGGGGGTGCGGCCACAGGTTAAGCTGGTGAGAAGCGTAGCGCACAGCGAACGGCCAGAGAAAATGGGGTGCACCGGCATGGATCATGGAGGTGCGAGCCACCTCCATGACCAAACCGATGCGTCGCTCAGCGACTCCATTCTGCTGTGGGGAGTCCGGTAGGGTGAACGTCTGGGTGATGCCCTCCGTACGACAAAGGCGACCAAGGACACCTGAGGCAAACTCGCCACCACGGTCGGAGTGAAGGCGCAAGATAGGGAGACCTCGGTGGACACGGGCAGAGACAAGCCAGGGGATGAGAGCGGCAGGCACGTTGGCCTTCCGCTCCATGGGAAAGACCGAGGTGTAGCGAGTGAAGTCGTCGACAAGCACAAGGAAGTAGCGCTCTCGACGCGGCCCATGGACACGGGCGGGGCCCCAGACGTCCATCTGCAGGGTCTGCAGCGGCGCGGCGGTAGGGGGAAACGAGGAGGAGTGAGGGGCACGGCGAAGCCGACCCTCAACGCAAGGCGTGCAAGGTGGGGCTGGGGAGGAGGGAAAAGCGGGGAGAGAACCAGGGAGACCAAGGACGAGACCGTGCTGGGACATGTGACGCAGACGCGGGAGCGCAGGGTGACCTAGGCGGTGGTGCCAAAGGAGAGTCGGGTGAGTGAGGGACCGACAGGAGCAGGCAGCAGCAACCTGGGTAGACGCAGCCACCTGAGGGGGCGCCCCAGCCGGGGGGGTCACGGTGTCCAGAGTGAACACGGGGAACGTGGACAGGGGGGCACCAGTGGCGGCCTCGGTGCAGACAGCATACCGCTCGTGACCAGGGAACGTTGTGGTGACGCCAAGGTCCTGGAGGCAGCCAACACCAACTAGGTTCCTGGAGAACGATGGGATATGCAGACCTGTAAGAGAGCCCGAAGGAACCGCCGGACAGGGAAGGGTGGTGGAACTGCGGGCGACTACCGGACCGGAGGGGTCAGCAAGAGAAACGGCAGCAGGAACAGGAAGCGGCGTCAGTATAGTAGAGTCGCGGAAGAAGCACCGTGAAGCGCCAGAGTCCAAGGTGAAGGAAAGCGAAGCAGAGGCGTCTGGCGACGGCGGAAGCACCAAGGCTAAACAAAGCAGAGGATCCTACGCCTGACGCAGCAAGGGAGGCTAAGCTAGGCACACCTACACTAGACGACAGTGAGTAATAAGCGGGAAGCGCACTAGAGTCATCAGCATACATCACATGCAGAGCAGAAACAATGGCATCCATGTCCATGTCAAAAATCTGAATCCTATGACTAAGCAAACTGTGCCAGTCCGGGAGGTCTGGCGACGGGCCGAAGCGCTGACGAAACGGGGTCGTCCAGGCGACGAAAATAGCGGGGAGTGGTATGACCGAGCTTACCGTAAACGAAGCCGCGACGAGGACCGGTCTGGATCTGGTACTGACAACGCACGCCTCCCGAACCACCACTCGGCACACCACCACGCGCCAGACCACCTCTAGCGCCAAGCCACCCGGGCGGGAGGACACTCGCCTGCCTCGTCTGCGGCGGCTGCTGCGGCTGCTGCGACTGCTGCGGCTGCTGCTATTGCTGCTGCGACTGCGGAGGCGGCGGCTCAGCTGGACTGGGCAGGGTCCCCTCGTCCGCTCCAGCACCAGACGACCCGACTCCACCACCACCCCCTCCTGCACCCCCGCCTCCTCCGCCGCGCCCAGCCTTGGGCGGCGGCCCTTCCCCGAACGAAACTGCGCTGCAGCAGCAGTCTCAGCCACAGCGACAGAACCGTCGGAGAAGGTACACTGAGCGGGGGCACAACCTTGAAAGATAGGGACCGGCACAGTACCGCTCGCCTGGGCGATGGAGCGGTGGCGGGTCTCAATAACAGTCAGGGTGTCTACAAAGTCGGTGAGGGTGAGCTCACCGGGGTGAATGCTAAGGAAGCGGTCGCGGGCAGCGGTAAGGCGGTCAGGGAGGCGGGTGGCAAGCAGGTAGAGGGTAGAGGTAATGGGCGGCTGGTGGTCTCTAAGCTGTGCGTCAGTGCAGGCAACGCGCCAGGTCTCATCTATCGAGCGCAGGTGGGCAGCTAGGTCAGAGACAGTGGGGAGAGACGCAAGGTCGGAAAAGAGCATCGGGAGGATCAGGCGACCCACTGAGGCAGCAGGAGGGGTGGAATAGCGCTTGATGACAGCATCTAAGTAAGCCTGGGCGGTAGTGATGGACCTAAAGCTAGGGCGCTCGGACGGGGGAAGGGCATTGCTAATGGCAAGCTGAGCGACAACGTCTCGAGAAAGCCAGACAGAGCGCGCAAGGGCAGTGGCTGCAGTAGACTCGCGCTCAGCGGGTGTGGGGTCAGCGGGCAGAACAGCAGGGGGGTCTGGGAAGGGGAGCGTACCGTCAAGGTGTGCGGAAAGTGGGTGGCCATCCTACCGATGGCCAGTGAGGTGGCGACGGAGGTCGGCGAGCCACGCCTCGAACTCCAGAGGCTGGCCTTCAGCGTCGAAGCGAAGCTCCGCCGCCATCAGGAGCAGTGCAGGACTGTACAGTGCGGTACAGTGCGGTGCAGTGCGGTGCAGCGCGGTGCAGTGCGGTGCAGCGCGGTGCAGTGCGGTATAGGGCGGTACCGCGCAGTGCAGTGCGGTGCAGGACGGTGCAGTGCGGTGCAGGGATGGGGAACCGTACCAGGGAGGATGCAGGGCCGGGGCAGGGACTACGAGCGGGCCGCACAAAGCTCGGGCCAGAAGCATTGGGCACCAGGCCGACGAGAGGGGCGCGGGGCCGGCTGGGTCGGGCGCAAGGCAGGCGCGGCGGGGCAAGGCAGGCGCGGCGGGGCCAGGCAGGCGTGGCGGGGCCAGGCAGGCGCGGCGGGGCCAGGCAGGCGCGGCGAGGCCAGGTAGGCGCGACGGGGCCAGGCAGGGCGCGACGGGGCTGGGCAGGGCGCGACGGGGCTAGTCAGGCGCGGCGGGGCCAGGCAGGGCGCGACGGGGCTAGGCAGGGCGCGACGGGGCCAGGCGGGCGCGACGGGGCCGGGCAGAGCGCGACGGGGCCGAGCGGGCGCGACGGGGCCAGGCGAGCGCGACGGGGCCGGGCAGGGCGCGACGGGGCTGGGCAGGGCGCGACGGGGCCGGGCAGGGCGCGACGGGGTTAGGCAGGCGCGACGGGGCCGGGCAGGGCGCGACAGGGCCGGGCAGGACGCGACGGGGCTAGGCAGGGCGCGACGGGGCCAGGAGGCGCGGCAGGGCCCAGGAGGGGCGCGACGGGGCTAGGAGGCACGACGGGGCCCAGGGGGAAGCGGCGGGGCCTAGCTAGGGTACGGGCGGAAGCGGTAGGTGGGGGATCCTAACCTACGCGTGATACCATGCTAGAATGAGAATTGAATGATTGAGTAGAGAGAGAGTACAGGTGAATATACCTAAGCGTTGTACCCTCTAAGAGGTGGCCCTATACAGTCTATGCAAACATAGGAGATACACATGTTTGACAGGTCGCACGAGTGACGACGACCTTTGGGTTCCCGCAGCCACGCTCGGTGAAAACAGAGTTATCCGGGACTATTTACACCGACGACGTGTTCCGGATGCGGGTAGTCTCATCCCGGAAGGGGGGGTGGTGTAAGGAAATTCCTTTCTCCTTACTGGGCTCGACTACAGTGCGTACACCCTCGACTCTCGGAAGTCCAGGCTCAGCCAACTTTTTCGGTCCCAAACCATTTCGCGAACCCAAACCTAGACGCGCAACACTTCCGTGGCTTTCGCCAACCGGACCGCCCCAACCTGTTCGTGTGGTTCTTGGTTAGCTCTTTTCGTGCCTATAGATGCCTAGGCCCTCATTTGTATCTACACTCTTTGAATCACGACTCCTTTATTGCACTACCTGTTACTACTCTGATTAATTCATAACATTATACGTAATATATGTAGCATATTGCATCCGCTAGCTCATCGCAAATAATTCGCCACTCATGATGACCATGCATCGACAGGAAGGAATTCCCGAGGAACTTGGGATTCCAGGGAATCTCTAGGCTGAATGTCCAAGAACACAAAGTCCTTGGGACTAGGCAAGGCTCGCCAAGATAGTACGTTCGGAACGTCAGTCTACCTTCTGTAAGGAACTTCAGAAGATAGTTTCTGCTCGTGCTATGGCTCTTGCTTCATAAGGTGCCACGTGGCTGCACGCACGACGCGCTCTAACAATGGGAAACGAAGGCGAGGGCAGCGCTGCCACAGAACTGGAGAGCACCGTCACCGTCATTGGTCCAGCTGGCACGCCGTTATCCGACGCGAAGATCACGCACGTCATTTTCGACCTCGACGGCACGCTCATCGACACCGGTAGGGTGGGCAGACACCCTCGAGCCGCCTTATGAGGCTCATTGGCAACGATAGGGACTCGCGACTCGGCTCAACGAACCCAGCTTTCGTAGGCAGACAGACGACGAATGTAGGTAATGCTCGAGTTTCGATACGCCTCAAAACTCGCTCATTGACGCCGGTAGGGACGCGCGTCTAGGCATCCCTGCTAATAAACCCCTGCTAGTACACCCCTGCTAATACATCCCTGCTAATACACCCCTGCCAATACACCCCTGCTTATCTTGTGATAGAAATCGAGTTTTGAGACGGCTCATTGACACCGGTAGGGACGCGCGTCTAGACCGATACATCCCTGTTTGTCTTAGGCATACGGACAAAACAGTAGATACATAAGGTTTGGCTGCCGAACCTGGCGACAGCTTTGGTATGCGGAGCTACGGTAGGCTTGCCAAACCGGTTTGGTAGGCAAAGACGTGCCCCTGAGGCAGGGTCGGTGGCAACACATGTGATAATAGTTTAGTTCTGAAACCGTGCTCCTCTCACCCTCCCCCCGTTCACCCTCCTCCCCCCAGAGAGTGTGATGGCACAAGTGTCAAGGATACTAGAGGAAATTTTCGGCAAGAAGTGAATGGGCGAGGGAGCAGAGGAGCGCATTGGGGAGCGGCTAATCGATGGTGACCATTCCCTCCCTCTGCCCTCTCCCCCTCCCCCCTGTCCCTCCCCCCTGTCCCTCCTGCCTCTCACCCAGAGAGTGTGGTGACGGACGTGTCAAGGATGCTAGTGGAGAAATACGGCAAGACATGGACCGGCGAGGGAGCGGAGGACCGCATTGGGAAGCGGCCACTCGACGGGGCTCGTGCCACAGTGAGGCAGTACGGGCTGCCGTGTAGTGGAGAGGAGCTGCTGGCGCAAACCCATGGGCTGGTAGAGGAGAGGTCAGTAAGGGGGATGGGTTGCATGCGGATTGTTTTGGAAATGGCTCATGCCACAGTGCGGCACTACGTGCTGCCGTGTAGTGGAGAGGAGCTGCTGGCGCAGACCCATGGGCTGGTATAGGAGAGGGGGGATAACGCGTATAGGGAAAGCAGTCGGGTTCATGGGGGATGGGTTGTGCCACAGTGAGGCAGTACGGACTGCCGTGTAGTGCAGAGGATCTCTTGGCGCAAACACATAGGCTGGTAGAGTAGAGGAAAGTTCAGTAAGCGGGGCGGGGGTAAGGAGGGGAAGGGTCAGTATGGGGCGTAGGGAAGAAGTGCATGGGGAATAGAGGGTCAGAACGGGGAGATGGGGAGCATGGGGGGTGGATTGGGCCACAGTGAGGCAGTGCGGGCTGCCATGCAATGCAGAAGAATCACTGCAGAGCCACGGGCTGGTAGAGGATGGGATGGATGGGGACAAAAACGCGTAAACGTTGTCACAGGCGGTAGGGCTTTCAAGTACCTGGTGTCATTGTGCTAAACGGAATGACCAGACCAGACCAGACCAGGCCAGACCAGTGAAGGGATAGCTCCAGTTCGCTAACCCACTGGGATAAAAGGGCATTTTTGTATGGTGGGTCAGCGCACCCACACCCCCCCCAGGACGACACCTGTAGCCCTTCAGCGGGAGCCCTCTGGGCCATCTCAGTGCCCCCTTCCAACAACCAGACCAAACCAGACCTGACCAGACCCTCGGTTTGGTAGAGGAGAGAATGTTAAGGCACGTGGGGAAAGCAGGAGGGGTGGAGCAGCCATGGTGAAATTCGTTGACTCCACGCCCATTGTAAATCGTTGCACTGCACATATGCACATATGCACGTATGCACGTCTGCACATATGCACATATGCAGATGGAGCCACGCCAAGGCCCTGCCAGGTGCCGTCCATCTGCTGCAGCATCTCAAGGCGCGCAGGATCCCATGTGCACATGTGTGCATGCTATGCTATGTCCAGAATCCCCACCTTAAAAACCCTCCATTCCTCTGCAGGTGGAGCCAGGCCAAGGCCCTCCCAGGCGCCCTCCGTCTGCTGCTGCACCTCAAGGCGTGCGGCATTCCCATGGCCGTTGCCTCCAGCTCCCCCAGGAGGAATGTGAACATCAAGCTCTCCTTCCACGCTGGTCAGTTGCAAATCTCGGGGTAGGCGTAGGATGTACCGGGCTACCGCCTGCTGCAGCACACTCAAGGTATGCGGCATTCCCATGGCCGTTGCCTCCAGCTCCCCCAGGCGCAATGTCAACATCAAGCTCTCCTTCCACGCTGGTGGGTCCCGCCCTTTGCTCTCCTCCTGCGCTGCCAGGTGTAGGTTCGACTCCCAAGGTATCCCCATGGCCGTTGCATCCAGCTCCCCCAGGCGGAATGTGAACATCAAGCTCTCCTTCCGCCTGACCCTTCCTTCAACCAACATCAAGCTGGTCAGCTGCAAGTTGCCTGGGAGATTAGGCAGGGTCCTTCGTCTGCTGCTGCACCTCAACGCGTGCGGCTCCCCCATGGCCGTTGCCTCTAGTTCGCCGAGACGGATGGCATCATTGAGCTCTCCTTCCATGCTTTCAGTTGAGCCCTGTTGCACCAGCGTTTGATTTGTTATGCTCACACTCTGTTTCCTAAGTCTGTCACCTTGGATATAATCAACTCTGCGGCATTGTTCTGTGACTGCGTAGCTCTGCTGCCGTGCTGTGTGGCGATGCCACTCTAGAGCACGTGCCGCGTGACGATGCCACTCACGTGGAAATCCAAGCTCTGGCGCATGATGCCAATCCAAGCGCATGATGCCAATCCAAGCTCTTTCTTGCACGTGTCTCAAATCCCTTTCTCTGACCCTGCTGCACCATGGTGCACCATACCTGCTGCGCTATGGTGCACCATACCTGCTGCACCATGGTGCACCATACCTATTGCACCATACCTGCTGCACCATACCTGCTGCACCATACCTGCTCCACCATACCTGCTGCACCATACCTACCTGCCTCAGCATGCAGCAAGCACTTCCATTCTGCTTCTTTTTCCACAATGCATCCCTGTTCCTTCAACTTCCCCCCTCCCGCCTTCCCCTCCCCCACCCGCCTCCGCCTTCCCCAACTCCCCCCCACCCAGACCCTTCCTCCCTTCGCCCCTCATTTTCACCCCCCCACCTTCATGGCTGTCTTTCCATTTTTCCTCCCCCCTCTTCCTCTCGCTCTTCCCACATGCATGGGACCAGGATGGACAGACATACGCCAACGTCAGCATGGGAAGCCGTGGCCTCAATTGTCTCCCCTTTTTCCCCTTTTTCTCCCTTTTTCTCCCTTTTTCACCCTTTTTCACCCCTTTTCTCCCGTTTTCTCCCTTTTTCTCCCCTTTTCTCCCATTTTCTCCCGTTTTCTCCCCTTTTCACCCTTTTTCACCCTTTTTCACCCTTTTTTACCCTTTTTCTCCCCTTTTCACCCTTTTTCTCCCTTTTTCTCCCTTTTTCACCCTTTTTCTCCCTTTTTCTCCCTATTTCTCTCTTTTTCTCCCTTTTTCTCCCTTTTTCTCCCCACTTCCGTCCCTTCCCGAATAAAACGGAGCAGGGTGGACGGGCATGCTGCAAGTGCTGGTGGGGGGGGACGAAGTGGAGCGTGGGAAACCGCGACCTGACATGTACGTCGAACAAATGCGCTGCATGGGGAACACGTGTGCACTTCATCCGTGCATAGTGCGCTCAATTAGGCATGAAACCATCAGTCCCTGCACATGCTGTGGCCGTGTTTTTTTTTTGTGTGTGTGTGTGTGTGTGTGTGTGTGTTTCTTTCTTTTGGTACTCGTTTAGTGCATCTGGTGGCGGGTGCATCTGTCTGCAGTTGCTATTCACTCCTTTCCATTCGCCCCCGTTCCACGACAACCACCGCCAGTCTCCTCTCCCCAAGGGCCCGTGCCGTATCCCCCTTCCCATCGCCTCAACTGCCTGTATTCTAGTTTTGAGGCGCCTCAACTGCCCGTATTCTAGTTTTGAGGCGCCTCAACTGCCCGTATTCTAGTTTTGAGGCGCCTCAACTGCCCGTATTCTCCCGCACATTCCTTTGAGCTGCTGCTGAATTGCTGGGCACTTCTCCTGCTCACACGTCCACACCTCCATCCCTCCGTTTCCCTCCTCCAATCTCTCTCTTTCGTGGCCTCCTCTCCCCCTTGTCCCTCCCAGATTCCTTCGAGCTGCTGAACTGCTGGGCGCTTCTCCCGCTCACTGCCTAGTTGTGGAAGATGCCCCGTAGGCCATCCCCCTCTCCCTCCTCTTACCGCTATCCTCTTGCTCCACGTCCCCTTCCTCCCCTGACACCGCTCACTCTGCCCTCTCACTGCCTGGTTGTTAAAAGTGCCCTATAGACCATCCCCCTCTTATCCTCGTCTTACTCCTTCAGCTTCTCTCTTCTCTGTCGATCACATCTCCCACTTCCCCCTCCCTGGCTTCCCCTTCCCTCGCTTCCCCCTCCCTCGCTTCCCCCTCCCTCGCTTCCCCCTCCCTCGCTTCCCCCTCCCTGGCTTCCCCCTCCCTCGTTTCCCCCTCCCTCGCTTCCCCCTCCCTCGCTTCCCCCTCCCTCGCTCCCCCCTCCCTCGCTTCCCCCTCCCTCGCTTCCCCCTCCCTCGCTTCCCCCTCCCTCGCTTCCTTGCTGTGGAGGATGCCCCGTATGCCATCCCCCCCTCCCCCTCCTGTTACAGTGTTACTCGTAGCACCTTGTATCTGTTCTTTCTATCACATCTCTCGCTTCTCCCTCTCACTGCCAGTGCTTGTAGATAGATGCCCCGTCGGCTATCCTCCTCTCTTGCTCCCCTCCTCCTCTCCTTATGTTTACTGTCCTTCTCTTTATCCCCCCTCCCACATCTCTCTTCCTCTTCTCACTGCCAATCATCGTAGATGCCCCGTAGACTATCCTCCTCTCCCGCCCGTCTTTCCTCCACCACTGAGATTTGACGCACCTTGGCCCCCCTCTCCGTTCTATCATCATCACACCTCGTTCTCTTCTCCTCACCCTCTCCAGTCCCAGGATGGCCACTTCAGTATGATACGTAAGAACAACACTCCCCTCCCCTCTCCCCGCTATCCGCCTCTTCCCTCATTCCCATCAGAGCAGGGGTCGAGGCCGCCGTTGCAGCCGGCATGTGGGTGCTCGCAGTGCCCTCGCTGCCAAACAAGGCCGCCCGGCCACTCTACTCTGCCGCCCATCAGCTGCTACCCTCCCTGCTGGACTTCCAACCACAGCAGTGGGGCCTTCCCCCCTTCACTGACTGTAGGTTCTCTTCTACTCTCCGTCCCTCTAGTCCGGCTCCCTCTCTCTTCTTCTCTCCCTAACCTGGTCTTCTCTCTCACCAGCTACCATCCTCCCTGCTGGACTTCCAACCATAGCAGTGGGGCCTCCCCACCTTCACTGACTGCAAGCTCTCTAACAAACTTCTCCAAGTGGAAGCGGTCTCTTTCTTCTCTCTCCTTGATCATTTTCATCCACTTCTTACCAATTTCTCTGACTGGAAGCAATTGGGCATCTTGTCTCCTCTTCTTCGCTGACTGTCAACTCTCTCCCCCCCTTGTATGACTGTCAACTCTCTTCCGCCTTTCACCGGGTGTAAACTCCCTTCCGCCTTCCACTGAAAGCAAACCGCCCCCCTTCATTCCCCCCTTCTTCCTCCATCTCCCGTGGCCCCCCTCTTTCCCACAGGGCTGCACCACTCTCTCCCCGTCGTATTTTGAGTCGACTCAAAATACCACAGGGCTGCACCACTCTCTCCCCGTCGACTCAAAATACCACAGTGTCTGCACCACTCTTTTTCAAGCCGAAACCAGTTCATCCTGGTTTTAATCAAACCTACTGTTCATTCTTTTAAGCTCGAGCTCAAATTCAGAACCGCTGCCTCGCAACGCATTTTACCATCATGGTTAACACCACTCTCTCCCCTCTTTCCCACAGGGCTGCACCACTCTCTCCCCTCTTTCCCACAGGGCTGCACCACTCTCTCCCCGTCACCCTGTGGTGCATCAAAGGACGGGTGATCAACATGCACTCTCTTCCCCCCCCTACTCTCCCCCTCTTCCCCCCTTACTCTCCCCCTCTTCCCCCCCTACTCTCCCCCTCTTCCCCCCCTACTCTCCCCCTCTTCCCCCCTTACTCTCCCCCTCTTCCCCCCCTACTCTCCCCCTCTTCCCCCCCTACTCTCCCCCTCTTCCCCCCTTACTCTCCCCCTCTTCCCCTCCTTTTACCGCAGGGCAGCACTGCTTGCTGTTCATCACCCCCTGGTGCATAAAAAAGCCGGTCATCAAGGGCTTTCTTCCCCCACTCCCCTCTCCTCTCTTATATCCTCGTTCCCTCTCTCCTGCCTTCCCCATCGCCCAGGGCAACACTGCTCTCTCCCCATCACCCCCTGGTGCATCAAGGGGCCGCTCATCAAGGAAAGCCCCTCTCTCTCCCCCTGTACCTGCCGCGCTTCCCCCACTCACCTCTTCAGTGCTGCGCCACTCTCGTCCCATCACCCCCTGGTGCATCAAGGGGCTGCTCATCCAGGGATTGCTCACTTTCTTTCCCGCCATCCCTCCCGCTACCTCTCCTGATTTCTCCGTTCCCCAGGGTTGCACGGCTCGCTGGCCATCACCCCGTGGTACATTAAGGGGCCGGTCATCAAGGGATTCGGTCGCGGGTCCAAGGTGCTCGGCATCCCCACAGGTGATTCCAAGGTGCTCGGCATCCCCACAGGTGATTCCAACGTGCTCGGCATCCCCACAGGTGATTCCAAGGTGCTCGGCATCCCCACAGGTGATTCCAAGGTGCTCGGCATCCCCACAGGTGATTCCAAGGGTCGCGGCATCCCCACAGGTGATTCCAAGGTGCTCGGCATCCCCACAGGTGATTCCAAGGTGCTCGGCATCCCCACAGATGAATTCAGCTTGGTTCCTGAGACAGTGGATACAGCAGCGTTATGGATGGGGCGGCTGGGGCAGTGGGTTAATGATTTCAAAGCGCTTGTGTGACTGACCGGCGCTGTGTACCCCAGGTCATGAAGCATGATGCTCAGCATGATGCTCAGTATCCATACAGGTGATTGACTAGTGTTAAGGCCATGTCTGATCTCGAGGCGCCTCAAAATCCGGCCTTGGTTACAGCCTCCCATGTGGCTGTCCAAGGGTCTCAAATGCCTCCTAGACGAGTGCAGTGCAGGTGCGGGTGCGGGTGTGGGTGTGGGTGCGGGTGTGGGTGCGGGTGCGTGTGTGGGGTACGGGTGTGGGTGCGGGTGCGGGTGCGGGTGCGGGTGTAGTTGTGGGTGTGGGTGCTTGTGTGGGTGCGGGTGTGGGTGCGGGTATGGGTGCGGGTGTGGGTGCTTGTGCGGGTGCGGGTGCGGGTGTGGGTGCGGGTGCACATGGCATCTACCACAGATGGGCGGGGCGGAGCTCAAATGTCTAATGTTCCTGTCGTGTCCTCCTGGCTCCCTTTCCCCTCTCTCCCTCTCATTCTCTTTTCCCTCCTTTTCTCCGCTTTCAGAGGTCTTGGCACTATACAAGGGCGCTAAGTGTTACCTCTGTGAATCGTATGTTGCAGTGTCGCTATTCCACTGTCTTGTCTGACGATTTTCACTCTCCTTGCAGCCAACCTTCCAGAGTCAGCATTCACGGGGCGCCTAGCAGACCACATGTGTACCATGGGTGGGCGGCTCTGCACTCAACTCAACCTGGGACTTGCTTTCTTTCTGCCCACTGTCCCGCTCACCCCCTTGCAGCCAACCTGCCAGCCTCAAGTTTCACGGGGCATCTAGCGGAGCACGTGTGCGGCGTCTACCATGGGTAGGCGGGCCTCACCCCAATCCATTATCCGTGTATTAATCCCCCCCCCCCCCACCCCCTCCCCTCTCTGTCTGTTGCAGCCAACCTGCCAGCCTCAAGTTTCACGGGCCATCTAGCAGAGCATGTGTGCGGCATCTACCACGGGTGGGCGGGGCTCAAGGGCAGGGGCGTGTTCAAGATGGTTATGAGTGTGGGGTGGAATCCCTTCTTCAACAACACTCACAAGACCGTGGTGCGTGCATGCGTGCTTTTGTGTGTGGGTGTGCGGGTGAGCGTGAGTGTGGGGTGGTCACGAGTTCAAGATGGTTATGAGTGTGGGGTGGAAACCCTTCTTCAATAACACTCACAAGACCGTGGTGCGCGCATGCATGCTTGTGTGTGTGTGTGTGTGTGCGTGTGTGTGTGTGTGTGTGTGTGTGTGTGTGTGTGTGTGTGTGTGTGTGGTCGGGTGGTCACGAGTTCAAGATGGTTATGAGTGTGCGGTGGAACCCCTTCGTCAACAACTCTCACAAGGTGTCTCACGCGTGCGTGCTTGTGTGTGTGTTCGTGTGTGTTGCGTGCCTGTGTGTGTGCGTGTGGGTGCATGTGGGCGCGTGCATGTACACATACAGCCGCCCATTCTCATCCCCCAGGAGCCATTCCTGCTGCACAGATCTGAGGGGCTTCTCACTCCTCCCTTCCTCGTTCCTCATTGCCTCTCTGCCTGTTCTCACCCGCCCTCTCATCCGCCTTCTCATCCGCCTTCTCATCCGCCCTCTCATCCGCCTTCTCATCCGCCTTCTCATCCGCCCTCTCATCCGCCCTCTCATCCAAGCCCATAACCCTCATCCACCCCTCGCATCTCTGCCCGTTCACATCCTCCCAGGAGCCCTGGCTGCTGCAGGATTTTGGGGAGAACTTTTCACTCCCCCCTCTCTCGTTCCCCACTACCTCTCCACCCATTCGCACCCCCCAGGAGCCCTGGCTGCTGCACGACTTTGGGGAGGACTTTTACGATGAGGAGCTCAGGCTGGTTGTAGTGGGTTACATCCGCCCAGAGGTGAGCTACATCCGCCCAGAGGTGAGCTACACTCGGCCAGAGGTGAGCTACATTCGGCCAGAGGCGGGCCACATTCGCCCAGAGGTGAGTGTTCTGCTCTCGTTAGATTTGCTTCATTCGCCCACAGGTGAGTGTTATGCCCACAGCATCCCTTCCGCCCTCTCCCCCTCCAGTGCCCACTCGTGTTTTTTTTTGTTTTCTTTCCCACAAGTCCTTTTGTGCGCCCACCCGTTTCACCCGTTTCTTCCTCTCGCGCCTTTCTCTCATCACTCCTTCACCAGTTTCGCGCCTTTCTCTCATAGCTCGCATTCTTAAAGATCGGGCCATTGTCTGCACTGCTGTTGACCTCCTTTCCTGAATGCTGATTCGCCATCTCCTCACACCAGGCCGACTTCCCCTCGCTCCCGTTGCTTACCGCCCGCTTTCACTTGGACGGGGACATGGCCCGTGCTGCCCTTAACTCCACTTGCCCACTCTTGTCACATTCCTTCACCTTAATGAGTTCCTATCCTGATACTTCATCTTCCCACTTCAGGCTGACTTTCCCTCTCTCCCGTCGCTCATCGCCCGCATTCATGAGGACGGAGACATTGCCCGTGCTGCTCTTGACTCGCCCCCCTTCGCTCCTTTTAAAGAAGATCCGTTTCTGAGCGAAGGGCACGCATAGAATGAATTGTGCGATGGGGAGATGCATCATAAGGGGCAGCAGCTGGTATGCGAGTTGAGCTTTTTGAAGACCCTCAAGACAGCACAGACATGTGGAGATGGAAGGATACTGCACATTACAACACTGGGCGAAATTCACACACGTGAGGGCCTTTCATTGGGGGGGAGGGGGGGGGGGGGGGGAGGGGGGAGGGGGTGAAAGGAGTTGATATTGAAAGGAGTCAAGGGCGTGGTTAGCGGATGGGCGGGTTTGTAAAATAGTGGTGCTGGTGGGGGAAATGCCACTGTAGAAATGTCATTGCTGTTGGTGGTTCCTTCCGCAGATGCCTCTGTTTTTTATGCAAGATTGCCGTAATGCTTCCATAGGAAAGGCATGTTGAGAAAATGTTACATTGTGTGTGTTTGTGAAACAATAAGCGCCTTTGGAATCCTGTTGTTGTATTATGGAAACAGCCGGTATTACTGAGTGTAGACCACTACAGAAACGCACCGTGGAATGCGGCACTTCAAAATAACGCGTTCGTGTCGTTTGGACTTCTGCGCCGCCAACCGCGGGCGTGTGGAATGCAATGTCATCTTGGCCCGTTCGCCTTCGCCGGTTCGTCTTCGACAATTCCCGTCCGTAGTTTCGCAAACACGCTTTGCCTGTACTTCATCTGCGTCGATTGATTTTTTGTCTTCTCGCCAACCGATCCCTGACCACTATGTTCTCTCGCGGCGTCATCCTTTACCGTTCATCTTCGCCGGTTCATCTTCAAACTGTCCCGCGCGCGTCGAGCAGCACAAGAACAGCCAGAAAGGAAATGTGTTCCAAGAAGAAACATTTCTGCTGCCAGTCACCCATGCGCAACTGTCATCGTCAGCCCTTGCTGCTGCCTGGAGATTTGGTTTGGTTCTCTCCCTTGTTCCCTTCTCATCCCTCCCACCAACCAACCCAATTCCACCAGGCGTTGCACTGCGACAACTGCCTTCGTGACGCGGTCCGATTCTCTCGCCGGGGCACTCACAGCAATCCCTCACACTCATCCCGCTGCAAGTAGTGCTGGCGAGCAAATTCGGAATTGCCATGTCCCCCCACAGGAAAGCGGGTCATTATCGAAGTATATAAACCCAGTCGAGCGAGCTCTTTTCATCATCACCGGATCCAGTTCCAAAGCTCGAGAGCACCGAGCTCTTGAGATCTTCACCTTGAGCTTCTCAAAGCTTCAGTTTCAGGCTTCAGTCTCGAGCTCCGCATCAACCACCATGGCGACTCCTTCCCGCATCTCCGCGCTCCCCTGCGTCCTCCTCGCGCTGGTCCTCCTCTCCGCCGCGTCCCTCCCCTCCCCCGCCTCCGCCTACCGCGCGCGGATGCTCCTCTCCCCCGCGCCCGCGCCCGCGCCAGAGCCCGACGCGAGTGGCAGCATGGAGGGCATGCTCACGGTCGCTCCCGACTGGCCGGTCTCCAACGCATCGCTCAACGCCGCTGCGATCGCAGCGACCGTCGATCCCAACGTCAACGACACGTACGCGCCGGCGGATCCTCTCCTCTTCGAGCCGTCCCCGCCGCCGTACGTGGCGCTGAACGAGGTGATGGACCCCGTCGACATCGGGGCGGCGCTGGACCAGATCGACGCGCGCGCCGTGGCGTTCTCGTCGCTGATTGAGAACGTGGCGCTGCCCGCGGATGCGCCGGAGGAGGTGTCTAACTGGACCACCACGCTCGCCACCGATCCTGGCTACGCCGGCTACCCGTACAAGAAGCCCCGGTGAGCCAAGTGTGGAGGACAAGGCTAATCGTGTTGGTCGTGTCACGTTTTTTAAAGGCAATTGATAATGGGAACGTGATCGAGAGATGCAAGCTCTTTTCAGATCATATCTTGAGAGTTGAGAGGCCTGGTTTCAGCACGTCGCACTTCAGTTTGGACTCGTTTGATTCTGTGTTTTTCTGTGCGGTGCTGCGGCGAGTGCAGGTACCACCCGATCTACGGCCTGGCGGTGAAGAAGGCCAACGGCAAGTGGTACACGTACATCAACAACCAGCTCTCCTGGCCCGGTGTCGACGATTGGGCCACCGGCTTCAGTACGTTTCATCTCCCAACCCAGTTGTTCTCCCAACTGATCTCCCAATACGCTCCGTTCATCTCCACCCAATTTTCAGCTCATCTCTCTACCCTCGCCTCTCTTCTTATATGTGCACTGAAAGGCACCAGCTTGTTTCCACCTTGTCTCGTTTTCACCTTGAAACCCTCTCCTTCGTTACTCTCCTAAAATTCGCCACCCAATCGCTTACCTCTCCCTCCCTTCCCCCCCCATCCCAAACCTTCGAATTCCCTTCCCTCTCCCCCCCCCTCATCAGAAACTTGAAGCTTCACTGTGCCTGACCCCACCTTCGGCTTTAAATGCGCTGAGGATGTGACCAGCCCTGGGTGCCATACTGCCGCACAACCTAATTTCTCTCTCTTCCCTCTCATCCCCATCCCCTAACCCCTGTTATAACAGAGACTTGCCGCTTCACTGTGCCTGACCCCATCTTCGGCTTCAACTGCACCGAGGATGCGACCTGCCCTGGGTGCCCCTACTGCCGCGCACAGCAGTGCTTCTTCAACCGCCACTGGCCCACGTACCGCAACCCGCAGCCCGACGGCACCATCCCGGGGCAGATGTACTGGCAGCGCCTCATTGACGCTGCCATCAACCCCAAGGGGTATGGTGTGTGCCGTTACGCTGGAACTGCGCAAGACCAGGGGTGCTACTGAGGAGCTTCTGGTTGTTTGTTGGTGCGATGCTGGGTGAATCGTTCAGGATGACGTGCAGCAAGAGCATTGGTGTTACTGAAGCCAGGAGGGAGGGGAGAGTGGAGGGAGTAGTATGTTGAGGTGGGAAGGATCGATGCTATGTGGCTAGGTTGAGGAGGTTATGAGATTGCAATGCTGTCTTGGTGCGGGGGGTGTGTGCAATAAATGATGATTGAAATGCAACAGTTTATATTCCTCTTTTGCAAACAAATAATATATGGAACAAAAACGAGAAACCTAGAAGGGCAATGGATTGTGCGAACCCCTTGTTCCACATGGCATTGTAAAAAAGGCTTGCCTTTGGATCTTCACGGAAGGTGAGTGCTCATTAACCTTGACGGTGGAGTTGTACATTAGGAAGGTGTACAACAATGGGCATCTCTATGAAGAGTTTTTTATGAAAAGATAAAGAGGGGGAAAATCGTTGACCCGAAAAGTCATAGAAACCATGCTACAAATGGTGTGTTTAATATTGAGGTCATGACCCAACCCCCCGTCTTCCCAGCGGACAACCCTCCTCAGACTCCTGCCAGCTAGCCGTCAATTGGCCAGACTTCCCCTTGCTAGGTCAACGAGACGCGGGCGGACTCCTGTGTCGTGTCATCCGACGATGTCAGACGCAGGAAGACACCCGAGAAAACTAGGTTTTGCCAGTGTCGACGATTGAAAGTGCCAGCCTTGACTGAGATCCGTACGCAATTTCGCAAACGGGAACGAACGACACAAGAATTCCGCCAAAGCTGTTGTACTTTCGTTGGAGGATTGCGAGTGTTGCGGCGCGTTCCTTACAAGTCCGCGAATTCAGACGAGCCTTGACAGATTTCGTTAAACACATAAAGGGCTTGTTGGGCTGAGAAAAGCCCTTAGGATCTTTCAGAGACTAAGTCCCAGTTGTACGAGATACTTGGGTAGTGCAGCAGAAGTTGAGTAGTTGAACCCTTGCACTAGTATGTGAGAGCAAGTGATTGATTAAAGGAAACAAGCATACAGCAATATATAGAAAATAGGAAAGTAAAGCCGTTGTAGAATACAGTTGAAGGAACGGTTATCGAGTCGCACAGCGACTCGATGGTGGATTCGGTTACCACTCTTGCAGTTGTAACGGTCAGTCGCAACCTCCTGTTGCGACCCTTGAAGTATTTCGTCCTTTCGTGTTCTTTCGTCCAACCTCCTCGTGTAACCTCCGTTGACTCGCATACTCGATACGGCTTCACTCGAGTGTGGTGTTACACTTCAGAAACGCTTAAGTCCTTGAGGTATATCCAACACTCCCCTTCGTTTCTGGAGTGCTGACGTGTCCAGATTCGGTGATGTTTATCTGCCCAGTCAGCAGCATACAGTAATCGAACTTTGCCTTCGCTAGTTTCTTCGTCAGGTAGTCTGCGGCCATTTCTGTCGTGGGGCAGTAATTGAGTTGGAGTCTCCCTTTCGCGATTTCGTCTTTGACGAAGAAGTACCGCAGGGTGATATGCTTGGTTCGATTAGCAAACCTGTCTTTGTTCGCGATTTTAATCGCGGATTGGTTGTCGAAGAATATCGAGAAGACGGGTAGTTTTGCGATTTTCGCTTCCTCGAGCAGTTCTCGCAGGTAAAGTCCTTCTTTGGTCGCAGTGTAGAGGGCGATGTATTTTGCTTCAGCCGAAGATAGCGCGATTAGTTCTTGTTTGCTTGACTGCCAGGAGATAGTCCCGATAGGCTCTAGTCGGTAGATGTAGCCCGTCCTTGAGCGTCGATTTTCCCGATCTCCTGCGTGGTCGGCGTCGACGTATCCGAGTAGTTGTACGGACGATGTTGTTGTTTTACTGTAGGTAAGTCCGGTCGTCGGCGTAGAGACGAAGTAGAGCAGTGCCCGATCTAGCTCCTCGAGATCCTCTTGTTCCGGCTGCTTCAGATGCGTCGCTAGTTGGCTCGCGCTGTAAGATAGATCCGGTCGGCAAGTTACTGCTGCGAATAGTAGGCAGCCGAGCTTCTGCTGATACTCCTGGATTTGCTTCGCGGGGAGTTTTGCGGAGGTGTCGTTGTTGTTCCCGTAGCGGTAGGGGGTTGCGACTGCAGTCGGCGTTAGTCCGAATTTCTTTGCGACAATGCCTGCGTATTTTCCAGCGTGTAGGTAGAACGCCGAGTCGTCTTCGACGACGTTCAGACCTAGATACTGGCTCACGGTGTCTGACACCGTAAGTGTTAAGTCGCTCTTCAGCTCCCCTTCGAACCAAGTGACGACATCGGTAGTGGAGCCGACGTAGAGTAGCTCATCGACGTAGACGATGAGTAGGACGAAGTCCCCCCCCTTTTGTAGTCGGTACATTCCTTGGTCGTGCGGCAGCTGCAGGAAGCCGATTTTGACGAGGCGGCCGTGAAGGTGCTGCTGCCAGAGCCGTGGGGCTTGTTTGATTCCGTAGAGGGATTTTACCAGCTGGCAAATTTTTGTGGGATCGTCGATGAATCCATGGGGCTGCTCGACGAAGATTTCGGCGTCCACAGGTGCGTACAGAAAGGCGTTGGCGACATCGATCTGGCGTAGTGGTAACTTTTTCGTGGCCGCGACGGCGAGCAAGATGTGTAGGGAGGTGTGTCGGGAGACTGGGGCGAATGTCTCCGTGTAGTCGGTTCCATATCGCTGGTCGAATCCTCGTACGACCCAGCGAGCTTTGAAGCGGTCGATGGAGCCATCCGCATTGGTCTTGATGCGGTACACCCATTTCCCGGAGAGTACGTTTTTCCCGTTGATGTTTGTTGCAGGTACCAGCTTCCACGTGTTTCGGTCTTGCAGAGCTTTCAGTTCTTTTTCCATTGCCTCCTTCCATTTCGTCTTATGTTCCCCCCCCAGAGCCTGCGACAGAGTCGTTGGCTCGCGCGGAGACGGCGGCGGCGGGTGTTGGATGGAGACCCATAATCCAAGTATCTGTAGGCCCGTGGGTGAGTGTCGAGGGGAATTTTCATTCCCGGGATAAGCAGCTTCGTCGCCACCTTCGGGATCAGGTAAGAAATTTGGTCCGATGCGTTCTGAGACATTCGTGTCGATTGGTTGAGGTGTAACGTAACCTTGGTCAGCGAAGTGGTAATAGGTGTCGAGGTTGTTACTATCGAGAGGATTGTCGTCGTTGAGGGGAACTGGCACGGAGCAGGAAGGGAGTGGTCCGGCAGTTTCCGAGGCTTCAGGTACGTCTTCTTCTGCTACGTCAGCTTTGGCAGCATGATCGGCGAAGGAGCCAAGGCCCGCGAAGCCGTCGGTGGGGTCATCTGTGGTGGCGACGTTGTCCAGGTAATACTGCAGTGTCAGTCGCTCGTAGAAAATCACATCACATGATGCCACGGTATTTTTGTCTTGTATGTCGAGGAGTTTCCATGCTTGGAAATGTTTGGCGATGCCGAGGTGTAGTCCCCACCGTGCTCGTTGAGTGAAGCGTCCTGCTCGAGCTGTGTGGGGTCTGTACTGTACCATGCAGCCGAAAACCCGAAGAAATTTTGTGCTGCCCCTTTTTCATGTCCACAGCAGGTGCGGTGATGCGTTGTTCGGAAGTGAGGATGAGGACAGCAAATTGTGCAGGTGGACTGCATGTGACATCGCGTCTGGCCACAGTGTGTTGGGCAGTCTTATCCCCAAGAGCAGCTTTTGCATCGTCGTCTGCAGGGTCCGGTTCATTCTTTCTGCGACCCCCTGTTGCTGGTGAGCGTAGGGTAGAGATACCAGGTGTCTGATTCCTCTCTCTGCCAAGAAGTTCCTGAATCGTTGTGACTGGTACTCCAGTGCCCCGTCTGACTGAAATAGTTGAGTGCCTGATTCCCGTTCAGCGATGGGGAGCCACGTTGTGAAGGCTTCGAATGCTTGATCTCGTGTCTTGAGGTTGTAGTGCCAGACGTATCTTGTTGCTGCATCGATGAACGTGATGACGTAGTTGAAGTCGGCTTCACTGTCGTCTCGAGGCATGTTTAAGATGTCGCTGTAAACTTTTTCCATCGGTGCGTATGCAGGTGCGCTTGGGTTGTGATGTGACGGAAAAGGTTGGTGGGGAAGATCGGCTTCGGGGCACGTCAAGCATCGTGCACGTGGTCGTCGAAGTTCTTGTCCGCTCGTTGTAAGAAGAGCGTTTCTTTCCAACACTTCGGCTTGGATGGTTTGTAGTACGGTGCTGTTTGCAGGATGCCCGAGGCGTTGACGCCAGATGTCGTCGGGAGCGCGATGGCCGGGGGAGCGTTGGTACATGTCGGCGTTGGAGAAGAACGCGACGACCGTGGCGGGACTTCGGCAGACTTCTCGTGTGATGAGCATAAGTTGATCTGCTTCGGTTGGTGGTCCTCGGATTGCTGGTGATGGTACTCGGCTGGGTCCTGCTGCTGCTATTGCAGGTGATTTCGAGGAAGGGACGCTTGTTGGTACTTGTCTTTCTTATCGAATGTCTGCTAACGCTCGTGTTCTCTCTGCTGCAGGTATGGTGTTGGAGTACCAGAATCCATCTGGGGTGAAGTCGGGGTCAAGATCCGGTGGGTGTGTCCAGGCGGCGAACGACACGATGCCATCGCTGTCGGCAGTACCGCGGTCGGGGACGAAATCCAACACGAGAACACCTGACTTCAGGAGAGCTCGAACGATGAAGAGGCCGCCCTTCCCGTGGTAAAGACGAAATTCGTTGGCGTCGGAGTCGCATTCCAGGTGAATCCCTTTTTCGATTAGTTGGCTGACGCTTAGTAGATTGTATCCCAAGTTGTCGACGATTAGAACCGTGTTGAGTTGCAGGATGACATTTGTCTCCATGGACTGTAACTGAACCGCTCCTTGTCTGTTTGTTTTCAGGTTCTCGTTGTTGGCGACGGTGATGATGACATCGCGGTTGAGGCGTCGCTCTTGTTGCACGAAGCGTCCGGAAGAACACATGTGTTGGTTGCAACAGCTGTCCAAGAACCAGGTGTTTCGCCCGGTGGGTTCGGCGTTGGCGACTGCAGCGTACGTTGGGTTGACCTGAAGGCCTTGTGTTCGCGGCGGCGGCAGTTCTTCTTCGTCTGGAGCGTAAGTGGGTGGTGATCCGGGTGCGCAGTTGTCGATGTGTACCATACAATTGATGAAATTTGGTGTCCCTTGTGCAGATGTGGAGGAACGCCTTGGCGGACTTTCTTGAGTGGAAGCGACTTGTGGGTGTACTGGACGATAAACTTGGGGGCGTGTGCAGTTAACCTTGGAGTGTCCGGATGTCTGGCAGTTGTGGCAGAACGGCGGTACGATGGTGAGTCCTTTGGTGTCGTGTCGATTCTGCTTGTCACGTCGATTGTAGTTGTCGTTTCTTCGTTGAGTATAGAAGACTAACGGTTGCTGCTTGTTTCGTGGTTGTCTTTCTTCAAACAGGTCCATCTCTTGTTGTTCAGCATGAAGCTCGGCGCAGAGGTGCATCTCCGAAATTCGTCCGTGGGCGCGAAGAAGCGAGCGGGTGGTTCTCCATTCAGGCCCGAGCCCGGCGAGGACTAGTGTCACGAAGCTTTCTTCAGTGATTGTACCTCCGCACCGAAGCAGGCGGTCACGGAGTGTCTGGCAGCGACTCATATACTGCATCGCCTTTTCCCCGTTTTTCATTTGTATTGTTGTCAACTGCTGCATGAGTCTGCTTTGTGTCATGCTGTCATTTGCTTGGTAGAGACACTTGAGGTGATGCCATGCGAGCTCCGCGGAGTTTCCGTAGCTCCGATACGTTCTGATGCTTTGTTGTTCTTGTGCTGACAGGTTCCGCAGAAGAACTGTGTACGCCAGCAGCGACTGATAAGTGAAGATTTCCTGCTCCTTTGCAGTGCCATTGCTTGGAAATGGCAGGGACCCGTTGAAGTATCCCAAGAGATGCGCGGCCTCCATCAGCAGCTCGAACTCGAAGCCCCAGGTAAAAAAGTCGTGTCCGTTGAACGGTGAAGATGTCTGCAGTTTGATCACGTGTGAGAATTGTGCCTGGAGGCTCAATATCTCGTTTGGTGTCTGTTGTGATGCAGCTGCTGTTGGTTGGGCACGGGGCGGCATGAACTCGAACGTCCCCGGTGAAGAGTGATAAGGCGCAAAGGTAGGCGCTTGATTGTGTCGCCCGAACGATGAGTTGTCGAGGCTCATTGGCGCTAATCCCATGTTTCCTCCGTTGCTCTGTGTTGAATGCGCAGGTGTCCTTGTCTGCTGCTGCTGGTCGAAGTGTGACATGAAGCTGAAGAACCTTTCCATAAGGTTCGGGTCCACGCTTGAAGAGGGTGATGGAGTCACCATTTCTGGTGCCCTTCCTGTTGTTTCTTGAGCAGCGCCGGTCTCGGATTGCATTCCTGAAGTGTGTAATCCAGAGTTGCCGGGTTGGGTGTCTTGGGCGCTGGGTGAGCCTGTAGAGATCTTCTTGCCCTTGTTGTCCATGACTTATAATCGATGAAGCTTGTTGAAGTGTTGACTGTAGATAGAACGTTGTTGCTGGGAGTTTGGTCTTTGACCAGCTCTCATACCATGTTGGGCTGAGAAAAGCCCTTAGGATCTTTCATAGACTAAGTCCCAGTTGTACAAGATACTTGGGTAGTGCAGCGGAAGTTGAGTAGTTGAACCCTTGCACTAGTATGTGAGAGCAAGTGATTGATTAAAGGAAACAAGCATACAGCAATATATATAAAATAGGAAAGTAAAGCTGTTGTAGAATACAGTTGAAGGAACGGTTATCGAGTCGCACAGTGTTATGAATAATAACAGAGAGTGCGCGGAATAATAATGACGAGTACAAGAATGCTAGCCTAGCATTATATAGCGAGAGTTCTAGCTAGGCGACGAAGCCGGAAGGCTAGGTTGGGTACAGGCGCGGTCGAAAGGTTCGGAGGCGGCGCGGGCGTGCCTCGGGGTCGCGTCGGAAACGGACCGAGCCTGGTGTTCCGAGAGTTCGGGTGTACGCGATTGCAGTACAACCTGGTAAGGAATAAAATTCCTTACACTACCCCCCCCCCCTAAGGAAGGTGATCAATATCGGGAACGCCTTTTCGGGTCAAATAAGATTTGAGCACCGAGTGTTCCTGAATTGAGTCGGAAGTGACCCAGGTGTCGTCTTCGCTTGTACGGTCAACCCAGCGGACAAGAAAATCCACGTGTCGTCCTGTCGAGTCAAGGCGAACGCGATGACTCAAAAGCCGGAAAGGCTCAAGCGTGGGTTCAGCCAGTGGGCGAACACTTGGGGCGGCCACTGGTCGTGCGACTGCAGACGTGCTGGCGACGTAAGGACGAAGCAGGCTGACGTGGAAGGCGTCGTGAATGCGCCACTCGTCCGGGAGTAATAACTTCGCTGTGACAGGTGTCACCATCTTGACAATACGAAAAGGGCCACAGAATCGTGGGCGGAGTTTGGAAGGCAGGGGCAATCGAAGGTTCTTCATGTCGAGGAGGACTAGTTGCCCAGCGGTCATCGTGATATCGCGGCGATGAAGATCTGTATAGCGTCGAGCGGTTGTGTTGGACTTGTGAATGAATTCGAGTGCTTTATCCCGGGCAGCTTGCAAATTGGTCACGAACTGCTGGGATCGTGGCACGGGGTTGTCGATGTTGGTAGACGTCGGGACGGTCGGATCCATCCCGTAGTTTAGGAAAAACAGCGAGTGAGTAGTCGTAGCAGATGGGGCATTGTTGTAGGAAAATTCCAGCATGGGCAGAAATTCTTCCCACCGAGCAGGATCGGGGCAGTTGGTGCGTAGGAGCTGCTCCATGGTCTGATTGGTCCGTTCAGTTTGACCGTCGGTTTGAGGATGGTAGGCGGATGAAAATTGGAGGCGTGTGCCGTACTGGGCCCATGTCTCTTGCCAGAACTTCGACGTGAATTTGGGGTCGCGTTCGCTGATGATCGCTGAGGGTAGGCCGTGGAGACGAACAACGGTGGAGATGAAAAGCTTCGCGGTGTCTTCGGCTGTGATTATTGTACGACAGGGTGCGAAATGTGCCATCTTCGTCAGTCGATCGACGACGACCAGTACGGCGTCGTTGCCCGTGGCTGTGGCCGTGAGCCCCGTGACGAAGTCCATTGTCACATGTTGCCACGGCCGCTGGGGTGGCTCGAGCGGTTGCAGCAGTCCAGCTGGCCGCTGTCGAGAAGACTTCATGCGTTGGCAGATCGGGCACGCAGATACGTATCTCTGCACATCAGACGCCGAATCAGGCCAATAATAGAAACGGTGAAGTAACTTCTTGGTTTTGTCAACCCCGAAATGACCGGAGAGGTTAGAATTGTGGACTTCTTGAATAAGTCATTCGCGGAGGAGTCTGTAAGCGGGAACCCAGATACGGTCAGTCCCGGCTTTTAGGAAGTAGGGTCCCTTGGCTGTGGTGGCTTGTCGGTGGAGGTTGCGGGTGAAAAAGGGGTCGGTGTTGTAGCCGTGGGTAAATAGTCCGGTGAGCAGTGGGTTTGATTTCGCAATGATGATGGAGGCGAGGTGGGCGGACGGGCGTGTCAGTGTGTCGGCGATGTTATTCGCCCCACGTTTGTACGTGATGGTGTAGTGGAAGTTGCTTTCGAGGAAGTCCAGCCAGCGAATCTGTCGTGGATTGAGGTTCGGCTGCGCGCGGAGGTACTGTAGGGATTTATGGTCTGTCCGTACTGTCACGTCAGCTCCCGTCAGGTAGCATCGCCACACTTTGAATGCGTGCACGATGGCGAGCATTTCTTTGTCGTGGACGGGGTAGTTGCGCTCGGCTGCCTGCAACTTCCGGGACTCATATGCGATGGGTTGGAGTCCGTTGCCGAAATCTTGTAACAGTATCGCTCCGATGGTGAAATCGCTAGCGTCCGTCAAGACTTCGAACGGTCGAGATGGGTCGGCGATTCGGAGGACCGGGGGCGACGTCAGAAAATTTTGCAGTTCAGCGAAAGCAGTCTGCTGTCTCTCCCCCCACTCAAACAAAGTGCCCTTCCGCAGCAGGTCAGTTAACGGTCCGGTTCTCCCTGCCATATTGGGGATAAACCGCCAGACGTAATTAACGAACCCGAGAAAACTCTGCAGCTCCTGTAAATTCGTCGGCGGCTTCCAGTCGCGAATCGTAGTGATTTTCTTCGGGTCGATTTTGATGCCGTCTGCTCCCACGACATGTCCCAAAAATTCCACTTCGGATTTTAGGAACTCGCACTTAGAGCCCTTCGTAATGAGGCGGTGTTCTTGCAGCCGCTGGAAGACTTGCTCGAGGTCCTTGAGGTGCTGTTCCTATGTCTTGCTGTAGATCAGGATGTCATCAAGGTAGACGATGACACACTTGTCGAGGAGATCGCGGAATACGCCATTCATGGTGAGTTGGAAAGTAGAGGGCGCGTTCGTGAGGCCAAAAGGCATCACGGTGTACTCGTAGCTGCCATAGCGGGTTCGGAACGCCGTCTTGTGGCAGTCGTCAGCGAAGACTCGGATCTGATGGTAACCGCCGCGTAAGTCGATTTTCGAAAAGAAGCGAGCTCCGCGAAGTTGATCGAGAAGATCGTCTGCGCGTGGGATTGGGTAGCGAGACTTTATGGTTCGCCGATTCAGCGCCCTGTAGTCGATGCACATTCGCAGCCCGCCGTCTTTCTTTGGCGTAAACAGGATTGGTGCCACGAACGGGGACGTGCTGGGCCTAATGAATCCCTTCTCCAAGAGGTAGTCCAGCTGGCTCCGCAACTCCGTGAGTTCGGGCTGAGTCAGGCGCCACTGGGTCCTGACTGTAGGCTGCGCGTCGGGTTCCAGGTCAATTTTGTGGTCCTGGGGGCGCTCGGGTGGCAACCCTGCTGGCAGGTCGTCCGGAAAAATATCCGGGTACCGTCGAATCAGCGTGGCGAGCTTGGCAAGGACATGGCACAAAGTGTGTCAATGTCCTTTGGCGTGTCATCGACCGTCGCTTCGGCCAGGTGGACGGCGTACAGATCAGCTCCCTTTTTAACTGCTCGTTGGAGGGTGATGGCGTTGACACGTGTCGACACCGGATCCCTCCCACGCCAGCTCGGAAGTACGCGCCACCCGTTCGCACAGTGCACGCTGCATTCGCCAGTTGTCCAGTTAATCCTCGGCTTGTATTTTCGCAGCCAATCACGCCCAAGCAGAATGTCGCAGCCGTCCAGCGTCGTGGCCAGCATGGGCATGCTGAACCCGAAGTCGTCGCCACACTTCATCCGCACCATGCGCGCTCTTTCTCGAATTGCTAGTGGAGTTCCGTCCACCAGTCGTGCGTCGATTTCGGGGAGGCATTTTTCCAACGTCAGCTTCAACTGCTTCGGCGTTGTTACGTGGATGAGACTGTGACTAGCTCCGCCATCCACAAATAATTTTATTTTTTTGCCGTTAACCTTGCCTTCGACCAGCACTGGGTGATCTTCAGGTTCGCTCCCGTTATTTGTCCGAGTGCGGTCGATAGCGTGTATCGGTACCACAACTTGGTGGGAACGTTGAACTTCGGGCGACAAAGCCTCGTCAGTAGGGGGCCCGTCTGCTACTGACTTTTCCCATTTCCCGGCTTCTCCTTGTCGTTCTTCGTCTTCTTGGGCGCCGTCGGGCAGTACTTAGCTCGGTGACCTGGCTTGTCACATCGAAAACATAGCCCGTGAAATATTTCATAGGGCGCTGACACGCCATTGATCGTGGGGCGGGGAGACTGTCCGCGAAAACGACCAACATCCCTGTTGTTCTTTCTCGCCCACTGCTGCAGTGCATCGGCTGCTGACGCCAGTTGGACAGCTTCATCGAACGTCTTGGGACGGGACCGCTGCAATTCGTATTGAATATCGAAATGCAGCCCGCTAACGTATTTGTCCCGCCTTTCCGCTTCGCTGAGGTCGTCGACTTGGTCCGCAAGTGCCGAGAACGACGCAGTGTAATCTTGAACAGTAGTCACCTGCCGCCAGTTGCGCAGCTTCATGCGAGCGTCGTCTGAGGCGGATGAGTGCTCAAAACGAGCTCGCAGAGCTGTGCCCCACTGTTTCCACGTGCGAATCGTGGTCGTACCGAATATTGGTTCTGCTTGTTGGTTTGAAGAATCCGAAGTCCCGTCCTTCGCCTGCTTCACTCTTGCCGGAGTCCCAATCGCCAACTGTCGGTGCCACCAATACAACGCCGGTCCTCGAAGCAGCGACACGGCATAATTAATGCTCGCATCTTCCGTGTGTACACTTGCCGCCGTGAAGAACAGCTCCATGCTGAACAGCCACCCTTGCACCGTCGTTGCCTTGTCCGAAGGGTTGAACGGGGGCGGTGTTGCTGGCTTGAGTTTAATCTTCGTTACGGTCACAGTGCGCACGTTGTCCTGCTCCAACTCCCATGCGAGCTCGTCAAGGACGGTTTCGCTCGCTGCGTCGTCGGCACCTTGCTTGACCTCGTCTTCGGCGACTCCAGGCGACTCCTGACGCGCTTCACCACGCGTCTGGCGAAGCTCGGTGTTCTCCGTCCGAAGTCTCACGACTTCACTGTTCAAACTCGCCATCTGGGCTTGCATTGCCTACATCTGAGCCATGACCTCGTCTAGCTGGGCCTGGGACATGATGCGAATGCTACGCCTTTCGGGCAGGGGGAAGGCCGTGGTAAGAAATCGTAGGGGGCGCAAACGCTATCGTAATTGTGTGAGCTAATAACTCTAGCTCACGGACAACCGCTTTGCAGCCCCGCAGGGTTAACCACGCCTTTGGAATAAACTACCCTGAGAAAGCGGGGTGAACCAAGAAAGTAGCTCTGATACCAGATGTTATGAATAATAACTGAGAGTGCGCGGAATAATAATGACGAGTACAAGAATGCTAGCCTAGCATTATATAGCGAGAGTTCTAGCTAGGCGACGAAGCCGGAAGGCTAGGTTGGGTACAGGCGCGGTCGAAAGGTTCGGAGGCGGCGCGGGCGTGCCTCGGGGTCGCGTCGGAAACGGACCGAGCCTGGTGTTCCGATAGTTCGGGTGTACGCGATTGCAGTACAACCCGGTAAGGAATAAAATTCCTTACACACAGCGACTCGATGGTCGATTCGGTTACCACTCTTGCAGTTGTAACGGTCAGTCGCAACCTCCGGTTGCGACCCTTCGAGTCTTTCGTCCTTTCGTGTTCTTTCGTCCAACCTCCTCGTGTAACCTCAGTTGACTCGCATACTCGATACGGCTTCACTCGAGTGTGGTGTTACACTTCAGAAATGCTTAAGTCCTTGAGGTATTTCCAACAGGGCTCATTAAAGCCCGGGTCCCATATTACAGGACGCGAAATTCAAGCGCGGCTCGGGATGGGGCTGTAATTTTCGATTGGTTGCGAATTTGGCGAGCAGAAATGGGGTCAGACGACCACGCGCGAAACAAAATGAAAACAAACGACAATCGCCAAAAGGGCCCCCATATCGCTATCATCGAACACAATGAGGAACACAGAGAAACCCCACAGCCAGTGCGAAGTGCACCCCAGACTGGGCGTGACACACGCTGTTGTCAGAGGCGCCTAGTCCAGCCTAGCACCACTCTGAACCGATCTGGGCCCAGCCACAGCACAATCTAAATCTGTGCACCCCTGG